ATGAGGGTAGTGATATGGAGGGATGATGTGAGTTGCTCCTGTGTAAACGTAGGGCAGAGATTGTGAGGATTTACCTGCATGTAGTCCCTATCCCCCCCTTTTGAGTAGACATCCCAACAGTGTGGAAGTGCATCAGGTTTGGTGCCCAGGTGACCAGGTCAGAAGCAGATGGAAAGGTTAAACTGTGAAAGGTACTCTGACCAGCAGGCCTGTTGATGAGTGAGGACCTTAGAGGTGGAGAAATACTCAAGGTTTTTGTGGTCTGTCACCACATTGACAGGTAAGGTGGAACCTTCTAGGTAATGCCACCAATGGCAGAAGGCCTCAAAGATAGCCAACAGCTCCTTGTCATGGGTATCATAGTTGAGTTCTGGCACAGTCATGGTGTGGGAGTAGAAAGTGACTGGGCAGAGTTCACCATCAGAGCAGGTGATCAACAAAATGCCAGCAATGGTATAGTTGGAGGTGTTGGTTTCAACTGTAAGCAGAGCATCAGGAACCCAGTGTATGAGGACAGGAGTGGAGCTGAAGGCATCCTTCAGGCAGAGGAAGGCAGAGCGACACTCCTCAGAAAAGTTCCAAGGAGCACCCTTTCATGTGAGGTGAGTGAGCAGAATGACAATGTTGGAGTAGTTATTAATGAATCATCTGTAGAAGTTTGTGAAGCCAAGGAAAGATTGGATGTCTCACACCTTCTGCAGCTCAGGCCAGTTGCAGACTGCCTGAACCTTCTCAGTGGACATGGTGAGACCAGAGGGAGAAAGAACATAACCAAGGTACTTGACAGAGTCGGAGTGAAACTTGCACTTCTCTGGCTTGGCATAAAGACCATGCTTTCGAAGGTGGCAGAGTACCTCTTTTACATGTTCATGGTGCAACTCCATGTCCTGTGAATAAACTAGGATGTCATTGAGGTATACCATGATGCAGACATTGGGCATGTCTGCAAAGATGTTATTAATGAATCACTGGAAAGCTGCAGGCATGTTAGTCAGACTGAATGGCATTACCCACCACTTGTAAGAACCATAACAAGTGCAGAAAGCCATTTTCCATTCATCTCTGTCTGTGATGTGGACCAGATGATAGGCATGGTGGAGGTTGATCTTGGTGTAGACTTTAGCATGGCTTGGGGAGTCAAGTAGGTCAGAGATGAGTGGCAGTGGATAGTGATCTTTTTTCATGATTTTATTGAATCCTTGATAGTCTATGCAGAGGTGGAGTGAACCATCCTTCTTCTTTATGAAGAGGACAGGGGCACCATGAGTGGAGGTGGACTGCTTGATGGAGCCATGGCCAGGATGCTTGTCGGTGAAGGTGTGGAGAGCTTCAAGCTCTGGCAGAGACAGAGAGTAGATCATGCCAATGGGCAGAGCAGCTCCTTCCTCGAGGTCAATCTTGAGATCGAACAAGTGGTGTGGTGGAAGTTCAGTAGCCTTGTCTTTACTAAAGATGTTGGCAAACTTGTGATACTCAGGAGGGACCAAGGAGAGGTCAGGAGGTGGAGAAGAAGCAGAGGATGCACAAAGCTTCACATCATCAGTGGAGAGCTGTAAGTGGAACTGTCTAGAGCCAGGGAGAGCACAGGCTCTGACATATGCAGCATCATTGATGAGTGAGACAAGCAGAGTGGGGCACAGTGAGTCTGTTGGAGGTGCAGACAGAACTGCTGATAAAGTGGGGGGTGTTGGATCTGGAGTGGAGGTTGCAGTGGAGGGTGATGAAGGCACCTGGGGTGTTGGCATTCCCTGTAACAATGGTTTGAACAATATACTGCCCAGTACCCAGTCAATTGATTGATTGAAGCAGGTGAGCCAGTTGTGTCCTAATACCAGCAAACATGAAGAATCCAACAGAGTAACATAAAACAAAACAGAGTTGACATTGCTGGAAGGAAAGTGGAGGGAAAGATCTACTTCTTGGGAAATGACAGCATTTGTACTACCATCAAACAAGCAGAGTGGAATTGGCAGAGAAACAGAGGAAACAGGAATAGTGTATTTTTTGATTATGGACAGGTCTACAAAACAATGAGAAGAGCCAGAGTCAATCAATGCAGAAACAGTATCAACAGAGTGATCAAGAAGAGTTACAGATGGAAGTGAAGAATTGGGACTAGAGAGAGTGGACATGTTGGGTCAAATGTCTGGTTGTGCACAGTTGGGATCAATGCTTCCTCCAGGCTGTGTGAGCTCCCTGGAGGAGCAGACTAATTTTTTGGCTCTGCCTTCTCCACAGGTGGAGGAGGTGGAGTTCCAGCTGTAGCTGCATGGGCTTTGGCTGTGCAAGAGGTAGGCTTGGGACAGTCCTTGGTGGAGTGGCCAGCCTCACCACAGAAGAGGCAGAGGTTGTTTTTCATCCTGCACTGTTGTTCAGTGCAGGTGAGTTTGCCATCCTTGCCCAGAAGATGGGCAATATTGGACTTGGATGCATTGGACCCAGGCAGATCTTTCTGTTTGCCCTTGCCTTTGGTGTTGGACTTCAGAGTGGAAGTGGAGGATGATGATTTAGGCTTGTTGTTGGAGCTGGAAGGCTGCAACTTGCCAGTGGCAGACTTGGTGGTGTGCAAGATTTCTGCTTTATGCTCCCAGTAGTGTGCATCAACAGTCTGAGCAAGTTCATGGAGTTGTGTGAGGGTAGAAGGTTTTCTGATGTGAGTGATCTCATCCTTGACACAGTCTGGAAGTCCACTATAAAAGTGGTGGCAGAGTGCACCAACACCATAGTCTTTGACCTGTGAAGCCCAGTGATTGAACTCTATGACATATTTGGTAATTCAAGAACCATCTTTCATAGTGAGGTTTTCAAGTTGTTGGACAGCATCTGCTATGGCATCATGTGGACCAAAATTAGTTGTGAGCTCTTGTAAGAACTTGTGATAGTTGTCCATCCAGAGCGGGTGGTCATAGTTGTCAGGGTTTAGTAGGTCTGGCTTGAACCAAGCCAGAGCCATACCCTTAAGATAAGACTGAGCTAAGGTAACCTTCGCTCTGTCAGAGTGGAATGCACAGGGGCAGTCCTGGAAGTTCAGCTCACATTGTACAAGGAACTCACAGAGTTTCTTGGGGTCAGAGCTGTCAAAAGTGTCAGGCTCACAGACCTTGGTTTTTGGAGCAGAGTCCCCAGTGTGCAAACTAGACCATGCAAGCACATGGACAGCTCTAGCAAGAGCTATGAAGGGATCCTCTGGTGGCTCAGCTGGGTCTTTGGGGATATCCCTGTCACCACTGCCCCCACCATCAGGATCACCATCAGGGTCATCAGGGTCGGGTCCATCATCTCGGTTATGAGGAGATGGAGTATGGAAAGTGGTTGGATGGAGGTTGGAGTGACCATCTTGCAAAGCACTTTCGCCTTCAGCATGAGAGTGGCATCGAGCAGAGAATGATTGGAACTGTTCAATGACAGAAGGGAGTCAATGCAGATTAGCTAGCACAACAGCGAGGTTCTCAGTGACCTCTCTCTGGGATTGAGCTTGAGTTCTCATAATGGTGTAAGTTTTTTGGAAGACAGAAAACAAGATCATACAAGTGCAAGTACAAATATACTGTCAAGTCCAGGCCTGCACTGACCAACTCTGATGCTGGATGAGGCCTGGGGAGAGGTTCAGAAGCAAGTCCAACAGAAAGAGCAGAACTCTGACTGGCAGAGTGTTGGCAAGAACTGAAGTCCACCAAAGGTAGGGGTGGAGCAAAGTGAGGGCATTGGGTTTAGCTTGTGCACTACCCCCTTGCACAATCTCAGCCCTCGTATTTCAGAGGGGGAGTACAGATGGACAGTTGGAGGTAACTCCAACAGGCAAAAGACAGAGACAGAGGGAGTAGGAACTAAGTTGATATTTGTACTGAAGAACAGTGGAGTACGGTACATGCTTTTATACTACCACAGAGGTACAGCAATCGGAATCAGAACTGACATACAGGGACTTGTAAAACTTCCTAGATGATGAATGAAGGGTAGATGGAGGACATACAAATGGGTAACACAGAACATCCCAAAGAGGAAACAGTCCAGGCACTAGACCATGTGGTGTGCACACTGTGGAGTCCCTGACCACACACTGTCAGGGAGAAGTCCAAAGGGTAGTCACATGACTCCTCAGAGAATGGCCCACATGGTCCAGTAGGAGGGCAGTACAAGTCCAACAGCAGTTGGAGCAGAGATGACTTGTAAACATCAGGGGGTAGGTGGAGTTGGTGTGGAGTGAGCAAATGACCAGCAGGAAGGGGTGTGGAGTGAGTGAGGACCTAGGATGAACACATGGTCATGACAGTGAATTTGGATGCTATATTAGCTGTTTTCCATTGTTTGTACTATATTTAGTCTAGTCCCCTTTGCTGATCTTTGCTTACTGTACAAACCTGTGTCTGACTCCAGTTATGCTGGTCACCCAGACTTTAACTATTAGTCCCAGCACAGCCTCCACAGCTGTCCACACCTTGCTAATTATCTCACTAATAGCTTATTAACAAGTCTGGCTCTATGTTCATTACCCCAGACCAGCCTCATGTATTTAACCCCTGTACATACTTCATAGCACTCCAGTCAGAATATCAATTTAGTATTACCCTCAACTCTGTACTGCACCCCAAGTCTACTCTATAGCTAAGGCCAAGCCTTAAGCCATCCCTGGCCCCTGTCCCAGACCTCTCCCCAGCTTGCATAAGGGTACAGCACATAAGCTGAGACCAAGGGAGGTAGATCCAACCCTGGACTGGCTTCCCCCTGTGTGCACTCCAAGACCAGCCAGTTTCCCACACTACCAGTCTTATTCCTGCACTCCTGGTCTTAAGTCTGGTCCTCCAGACTTAACCCCTGACCTCTGGCCCTAACTCTGGTCCAACCAGACCTGGCCCCTGTCTCCTGGCCTTGACTCTGGCCACCTGGACTAGCCCCTGTCACCTGGCCTTGAAGCCTGGTCACCTGAGGGTAAACCCATACTTGACAATATATTCTGACTCACACTTGTGCAAGCCATTGCATCATGTCTAGGTCCTGCTCTAGAGCCCCTGCCCATGACCTTGCCCATTGGGACCCATTAGGCTACCTCTCATCTGACTCCAGAGCCCAACCTGGAGGTCTCTGCTGAAGTGGAGAGGTAACCAGTGACCCTCAGCACTCTGCACACCCCTGGGTTGCATTACCCCCAGCACTATGTTCCTAGTGGTCAAAACTTAATGCATCCATTCCCTTATTCCTGATCCCTGCCTGCCACTCATTTCTTCCTGACTCTGGACCAGCCATGTCAGCCCCTGAGCTGGACTTACCATCTGGACTCACCACCAACCTGGACTCATGCTTGAGCCCACTTCCAAGTCGAAATTACCCTCTGGACTTGCCCCTGAGCTGGCCTCAACAACTGGACTCACTTCTGTTAGCTCCCCCAAGCTACCTCTGACCCCTGGCTGGTCACCCCAGTCTTCACCACAGTCCTTACCTCAGTCATCCTAGTACTCTATCCCAGCTGTCTAGGTCTGGTTCTACTGTACTGGATACTGTAATCACATCACTCATTTGACCTCCTGACTCCCTGGTATTGGTCTTTGGACCTCTGTGCACCTCTGGTGCAGCCCCCAGGCCTGGACTTAGCCAGTCCTGGTCCTCAACACCTTCCCTGTTCCCCATTGGCACTTGGCTTCAGCAGTTTTTGGGTCCAGTCTCTGCCCTCAGCCTTGGAGCCCTGGACCCCCTTTCCAGTCTCCAGACTGTCTGTTACTGGCCTGTCTGGCCTTGGGTTGGCTTGTTCACACTCACCCAGACTTGTCTGAAGCCAGTTTGCATCTTCTCTCAGCCTCCTGCCCTTCGTTACTGGCCATCCTGGCCCCAGTTTGATTCAGCCACCTCACTGGACTTGTTATGAGGTCTTGGACCAGTCCTGGCTTTCCTCAGACCTTCCTATTCCTCTCAGACCCCTCCTGGGTCCCCTATCCCTTGTCCTGGTCCTGCACTAGTCACCTTGGCCTTGGGGTGGTGCTTGTCCTCTGGACTTGCACCAGACCTCAGCTCTGGTGGTCTTAGCTAGTGCATGACACCTCCATTTTGGTCTATGACTGGTCTGCTGGCCCTCTGGCCCTTAGCCCAGTCCCTGACCTCTCTTCTGGCCTCTCTTTTCACTTGGAGGCACCCCCTGGGCATGCTAGTCCTTTGGACTTGCTCCTGGCCCCTGGTTTTCGGTCTAGGACCAGTCTGCCAGTCCTCCAGCCCCTATCCCAGTCCCTGACCTCATTTCCAGTCCTTTCCCTGTCCTCCATCCACCCCAGGATCCTAACTGGGTTAGCAAGTTGGTAACTCTGTACTCCAGAAGCCAAAACCAGTAGTCTCAGTTGAGACAAAACAATTAGAGTCTACCCCAGGATCCTAGCTGGGTCAACAAGTTGGTACTCTGGTACACCAGAAGCCAAACTGGTGGTCTTGGTAGAGACAAATCAATTAGTGCATTACTCTGTTCCCCTTAGCAGTCCTTCTGGCTTGTCCTGCAAGTCCCTGGACCTCCCTTGGCCTTGCCTGGCTTTTTAGCCTGGACTGGACTTGCCAACTCCAGTTCTCCCTTTCATTTGTTCTGGTCTTTCCTCCCTTGTTAGGCCTTGTCAGCCTTTGTCTGGCCTGTCATTTCCAGACTTCTTTATAGCCCCTGACCAGTCTTGCTCACTCTGGACTTCCTTCTTTTGGCCAGCCTCCCATATCCAGCCTCCTTTGGTCTCTGATACCCCTTGGGTAGCTCTGTGCTACTCCCTTGTCACTCACCCCAGAACTACCCCTGACCTCTACCCTGGTGCTATGGTCTTGACCTAGCACCTTTGTCTGGTCCTTGGTGGACCCAGCCTTGGTTCTCTCTCAGTCTCCAACCCCCTGATTAACTGGCCTTGTCAATCCATTAGGAACTGAAGTATCTAGGTTGTAGGGAACTGACTAGCCCACTCAATAGGCACCTGTTGGTGGCTGAGTGTAGTGCAGTCACCTATCCCCACCTAATGCTAAAGTTTGCTAACCCCCCTGATGTCAACCCTGCCTTGGAGCATGAATTTGCTTGCAAGATGACCCTGGGCTTCAGCCCATCTGACAAACCCCTGACTCTGCTGGTCTGCTTCCCAGCTCACCCACTCACCCCAGAACTTGTATGTTCATGAGGCCCCTTCAGGTACTAGCTAACCCCTCACCTACCCCCTAACCATTGCCACTGTCATCCCACCATTGACTCTGGAACTCTGGTCTTACCAGTTGTCTTTCTGCTGGTCTCCACTGGCCTCCTTTGCTCTTCTTGGGCTCTGGTTCTGGCCTTCATACCCTTACTTTTGGCTCCAACACTCCTTACTATCCCTGTACCAAGCCAGCCTGCCCTGCTGGTCTGGTATCTCCAGTTTTAAAGCTTTTCCTGGCCTTGCAAAAGCTTTCTGGAACCAGTCTTGCCACCTGTTAAGCCAGTCTTAGCATTCTCAGTACTCAGACTTACAACTGGGGTGGTAGTAGGAGTACTACCCATCCAGTACTCCTCTTGATGGCCCTGGCCCACACCATGTACCCCTGTAGACTTGGGAAGTCTAACCTAAGAGGGGGATAAGGGACCTCACTAGTGACCTACTCTCTTCCAAACCCCTGTCTATTGCCACTCCAGTGCCCTCAGCACAACCCCACTTGGTCCCTGCACACTGGTCCCCAGTTCCTTGGCCTGGTCCTTGCATACTGAAACACTCCCAAACCACCTGCCCTGGGTTGCTCCCAGTCCTTGACATTTGTGTTGGTACTCCAGTCTCACTATCTCAGTAGTCCTCGGCCTCAGTGATTGTGTGTTCACTGGTCTCACTGGTCTTGGCCTCCTTTTGTCAGCCTTTTAGCTGGACAACCCCTAGGCCTCACCAGTCTCCAGACCCCCTGAACCAGTCCTCCAATGACTTTTGGCCCTCAGGCTTCTGTTCATATCAGGTGCCTGTGCACCTCAGATCATGTTTTTCCTTTCTCCTATTTCTATCTCACCCTACAGGCATGTAGTGGACACTTAGCTTTGCTCTAAGTGTCCTTGGTTTGCATTTGTTTATTGTTTACATTTGTTTATCATTTTTGTGCACTTACTGCTGTGTGCCCAGTGAAATTTTCTTCAGTCTCTTACACTGGGCACAAGTGGCCTCAGATTGTGGTTATCTTAACAGCTTCTTGCCACTGGAAAACCCACCTCCAACCAACTCTGGACACCCCTAAACTGGACTCAACACCTGGACTCACCTCCTGCTGACATCCCTAGGCCTTTGTTGAACTGGTCTCATGACCTGCTGGTCCCCAGTTCATGCCTGGCTATGTCAAGTCCTCCAGTCCTCATCCAGACCAAACTCTAGCTGTCCTAGACAGTCCCTAGTCCCTTGCTGACCTCCAGAAGCTCATCTGGCCTGTTCCAAGGTGCTTGGCACCTTGCCTTGGGTTTGCATCTTGCTACCCCTGGTTACCCCAGTCTCAGTGTTAGCCCACTGGCCTACACTGTTTTGGCCTCCAGTTGTCAGCCCACCAGCTAAATGGCACCTCAGGTCATCTCTGACTACCCCAAACCTCTCCAACCCCTTCAGACTGGCCTTCAGCCAGTCACTCTGGCCTGGCCCAAGTCCATACTGGTCTTCCTTTGGCATTTCTGGCCTTGCATCCCTGTCCAAGTCCAAACTGGTCTCCCACTGCTCTTTTTAACCCTTCTGGCCCTCACTGGCTCCTGACTGGTCCCCACCTGGCTTTTCTAAGCCCTCCCTGAGCATTAGACTGGTCTCCAGTTGGCCCTTCCGGTCCTCTCTGACCCTCAGACCAGTTCCCCAGCCTTCCTGGCCTTCTGTCCCCTTGACCAGTCTTCAGTCTTGCTGTTTTCTCCAGACCACTCACTTTAGCATGACTGGCTCTCTAGGCCCTCAGCCACCATGTTGCCCTGAACCTGGCTTTGAAGCACACCTCTGGCCCTAGTGGCACACCCCCAGTACATTTGTTGGACATTACCAGTCCCTTAAACATTTTTGGCCTCTGGTTTTCCCTGACCTGGCCCTGAAGCACACCCCTAGGCCTCACCTGGTCATTCCCAGGCTGCATGTTGCCTTAGCCCAGCTCCGAAGTGCAACTCTGGCCCTCTGAAACACTGGCTCCAGCTTTCAGCTGCCCCTAAAACCCCTGTGCAGTTGGTCTGGTCACTCCTGGACTCAGCTTTGCCTTGTCCCAGCCTGCTGAACCACCTGGCAGCATCCTAGACCAGTCTCCTGCCCTCCTTGTTGTCACTCTCTGGCCTCAGGTTCCCAGAACACTGCTCAGTCTTGACCCTTGACCCCAAACCTGGCTTATGCCATCCCAGTCTAAACTACTGGACCTCTGGTCATCACTGCCCAGCTTCCCAGCCCTCAGGCTCACCTTTGGCACTGTGTGCACACTCAGACTCACTGTTAGTCATGCAACTACATTGTGTAACCCTCTGGGCATATTTCCCTATGGAACCTCAAGGGTTTGGTTCCTAAGAGGGGGATACTGTCATATCCATGACTCTTAAACTCAATCCTGGTCCAGTCCAGACCCCTAGCCCCTATCTCTGGTCAAGCCCAGTCCTAGTCCAGCCTAGCAAACCCAACTCCAGCCTGAATAACTCAAGTCCAGTGTTTTACCCCTATCTCTGGTCCATTCTGGCCTCCCAGCCTTGCACTGCTCCACCCCAGTCCTCCCAGGTCCATGTCTGGGTCACCTGGACATAACTCCAGTCTGCTTTCCATTGTTTGTACTATATTTAGTCTAGTCCCCTTTGCTAATCTTTGCTTACTTACTGTACAAACCTGTGTCTGACTCCAGTTATGCTGGTCACCCAGACTTTAACTATTAGTCCCAGCACAGCCTCCATGGCTGTCCACACCTTGCTAATTATCTCACTAATAGCTTATTAACAAGTCTGGCTCTATGTTCATTACCCCAGACCAGCCTCATGTATTTAACCCCTGTACATACTTCATAGCACTCCAGTCAGAATATCAATTTAGTATTACCCTCAACTCTGTACTGCACCCCAAGTCTACTCTATAGCTAAGGCCAAGCCTTAAGCTATCCCCAGCCCCTGTCCTGGACCTCTCCCCAGCTTGCATAAGGGTACAGCACATAAGCTGAGACCAAGGGAGGTAGATCCTGCCCCAGACTGGCTTCCCCCTGTGTGCACTCCAAGACCAGCCAGTCTCCCACACTACCAGTCTTATTCCTGCACTCCCAGTCTTAAGTCTGGTCCTCCAGACTTAACCCCTGACCTCTGGCCCTAACTCTGGTCCAACCAGACTTGGCCCCTGTCTCCCAGCCTTGACTTTGGTCACCCAGACTTAGCCCCTGTCACCTAGTCTTGAAGCCTGGTTACCTGAGGGTAAACCCATACTCGACAGTACTGGCAGAGAAGCATAGAGGCCCAGACAGATTGTCAAGGAGACCTTGAGCAGATGAGGATTTGGAACCAGAGGGCAATTACAAGGACTGGATTGATGAGGTGGGATTGTTCACAGTCAAGCTCCTCAACCCACAGTGAGGTGAATGAGAAGAGGCCTTTTTCCAAAGTCAGAAGGTCATTGAGCCAAAAAAAGGATGGATTCCCTATATTGGAGAGCAGAGATCTGAGAGGTCAAGTGAAGTGACCAAGACCCAGGTGGTGTTATCACAGGCATCAGGGATGGATGCTACTGCTGATATAGAAATCCCTAGGACAGAAAAGGGGAAGTGGCAGGACAAACAGTTGGAAGTAGTTCACAAGGTCCTCAAGGATCAACAGTGACAGCCTGGAATGTCAGACTTGGATCTGAACTTGCTAATCAAGTACATGGCAAAGTTCTTCTTGAAAATGGAGAGCTATGGCACTGAGAACTTGTTCATATTAGGTGCCCGTGCACCTCAGGACTGCATTTCTCCTCTGTGTTATTTCTATCTAACCCTACAGACATGTAGTGGACACTTAGCTTTGCTCTAAGTGTCCTTGGTTTGCTTTTGTTTATTGTATACATTTGTTTATCATTTTTGCGCACTTACTGTTGTGTGCCCAGTGAAATTTTCTTCAGTCTCTTACACTGGGCACAAGGTATGTCTTATGTAGTATTCCCTTGAATATTAGTCTCTTACACTGGGCACAAGGCCTCAGTTTGTGGTTATATCAACAGAACTGAGGGGACAGCATCAAGTCATACCCTTGTATGAGAAGTGCTTGGAGCTGATGAAGCAAGTGCACAATGATTTGGGTCACAAGGGAGTGTTCCCCATTAAGTTGAGATTACTGATTCACTTTTGGTGGCCATCACTAGATCAAGATGTATGATGGTTCCTCTGTACCTGCCACGAATGTCAAATTTGATGCATGGACAAGATATGCATCCCACCTGTCATAGCCATGCCTGAGCCTCTGTTTTACAAGGCATACATGGATTCAATGATGATGCCAAAGTCAAATGGGTTCTGGTATATTGTACAAGCTTGGTGTTCTCTGACTTCATATCCTGAGTGGCAGATGCTGTGCACAGAGACAGGACAAACCTTGGGTCAATTCATTCTTAAGAGGAGGCCAATATTAAGACTATAAAGAAGGCCTCAGGCTTCTGTGGTAAGAAGACTTAAATATTAACAAGCTAACCTATAAAGAAGGTCTATGGTAGTATATCAGTAAGGTAGCTGTAGGGTTAATATAGTAAACATACCTCAGGCTTCTGTGGTAAGAAGACTGAGGTGCACAAGGAAAAACTAACTGCCTAAGTGCAAAGAATTATTATGTAAGCTTGTATGCTGTAAGCAAATAAACATAGGGGAAACATGTTCCAACATTCATATTTGAACAGATCCACATGTGTTGGTGGGGTGCTGTGGGGGAGATTGTCACAGACAATGGCTCCACATTCAAACAAGCCCTCACCTACCTTGAGAAGAAGTATGATATCAGGCATATAAAGATCTCAGCATACAATTCTCAGGCCAATGGACTTGTTGAGCAAAGGCATCTAACCATTTGAGAAGCTCTCATCAAGACTTGTGAGGGTGAAGTGGGCACATGGTCATTGTACACACCATTGGTGTTCTGAGCTGAGGTGACAACACAAAAGTCAATGAAGCTTTCAGTGTATCAGATGGTCCACAGGATTGAGCTGAGATTGCCATTCAACTTCACCAAAGCAACCTTTCTGATGAATTGGGACAAGGATAAGTATTTGACCAAAGAACTGATATTGCATAGGTGCTGCCAGCTGCAGTGAAGACAAGAAGACTTACAGTGAGTTTGTCAACAAGTATACAAGGCATGGTGCCAGATGGCAAAGGAATTCAAGCAGAGGGTAAAGGGGTTGATACAAAGCTACAAGTTTGAACCAGGAGCACTAGTCTTAGCTCACAATACAAGAATCAAAAAGGAACTTGACCACAAGATGAAGCCAAGATACTTAGGCCCTATGGTAGTTGTCAGGCAAACTGAAGGAGGCTCCTACCTATTAGCTGAGCTTGATGGCTCAATTTCTTGACTTCAATATGCTGCATTTTGCTTACTCCCTTATTATTCTAGGAAATGAATCTCAATAGCAATAAAGGAACTCACAAACTGAAGTGAGGAAGAGCTGTGCAAGCTTGAAGAGGAGTCAATAGAGGATGAATCAATCCCTGAGGCTGAAGACATCCTACCAGAAGAGGACATCAAAGGCAGCAAGTCAGCTGAGAGTATCTGAAACCTTCAGCTGTAGATATTGGTGTGCTTGTTCAACCAAGGCACTTTGACTATCAGCTTGAATTCAAGTGTAATTCAGTGCCACCAGCATCTGACTGGTACATTCTGCAAAAAACAAAAAAACAAAAAAAGTCATGGATTTTGAATGTGTGATAAGCACTGATCAATTCTATGATGGGCAGGACTATACATGAGATACAATGATGGGGCTGTTGAAGCCCAGAAGCAAGTCCATGTACTTCAACACTACATTGGTGAAGAAGGAGGGGAAAGGGAAAGCAAATGTGTGCTAGTGTTGGTGCTTTAACAAGTTTACAAGGGAGAGATGTGTATCTACTGGGGGCTAAGTGGGATGGGTGAAAACCTGAAGGGTTTTCTGGCCCAGAGGAGGCACTGAATAAGGCAATGAGTGAGCTGTGTCCCTGCAGTTAGGAACCAGCAATGCTAATGGTGAAGCTCATAGCCCTAGATGAAGGAGGTGGCTGCTTACAGTACAGGAGTCCCAAGTTATCACACTGGAGGCATGGTGTATCTTGTGAAATGTTCTAGGAGTGCTGGCCTGTCATTGAGATAGGGTGCTAGGATCATTGCATGTTGGCATAGGTATAGGGTGAAAGAGTCACCTGCCCAATGCCCAATTGTCTTGACAATGTTGAAGGAAATGCCCTGAAGCAGGTAGTGAAGTGTGCCATGTATTCTCAGGCTGTGACCTTTGAGGGTCAGGAGGCCATGTTCAGAGGCTAGTGCAATGATGCATTTAGTGACTTCAGTTTTGGATAATGGGTGCAGACCTGCTGTGGGGTGTTTCCATGCAAATAGGTGCACTTTATCATCAGCCAGGTTGATATCAAAGTGATTTTCTAGTGCTTCAATGGGGTTCATGATGTTGTTGTTAGTGCCTGTGCACCTCAGACTAATTTCCCAGGTTCCTCACCTTCCATATTAATGATGTGTGCACTTATTTTCTTCAGTTGTTCTTTGTTTGTTCAGTGTTTGCATTTTTACTGTGCACAGAGTCTCTTGTTCTTTAGTTACAGACTCTGTGCACATAGAGTGCTGAGTATTGGGATATCTTAACACATGACACCTTCTATTGGTGCACATTGGACATCTTCCCCTTGGGGTGATGCTTTGGTGCATGGGATGCAGAATTTAGTGACAGGTAAACCATTGAGATCATGGAGGTGTTTTATGTTTGCTCAGGTGATGTGTTTCATTGGGTTGAAGTGTTTGATCTATGTCACTGTGAACTCTCCTAATCTGGCTATGCAGTAGAATACCATCATTAAGCAAGTGAAGATGGCAGTGTCTTTGGGGATTTTTAGGTCCATGACTGAATGAAAAAGTTCTAGGGTTTCAACTCAGAACAGTTCTTGGGGAGGGTGTTTGGATGCAGGGGGTGCTAGTCATGTTGCTCCTTCAAGTATCACCTTCAGTTCTTCCTGATTAATGTTCCATGGGAGGCCATGTAGTAGATGCCAGGCTCATAGGCCTGATGCAAAGTTTGCTAGCACTGACCTGGAGTAGGAGCCTGCACAGCTGGACAGGAAAGTGAGAAGTGTTGTAGCCGAGATGGGGGCTCACTGTGGTTCTGAGAGGTTATGCACATCACAGTATACATGGTATGCTAGTAGTCCTGCTCTGTATGCTTCTTTGGTTTTCTCAGCCCAGGATGCACCAATGACCTCCAAGATTCGATTTAGTTGGTCTTCTGAGATGGTATGCGAGTTGTTGTTTTGTTCTGCTCCCACTGTAACTCAGGTGTTTGTGTCTGATGGGAGCCACAGGTGGAGGCATTCCCTCGCAAGGCAGTGGGGGCACAGGGGGGAGGGTAAGGGGGTCAGGTGAGGCCTGTAGGGGTGTGGGCTCATGGCAAATGGAGGTGGGAGGGTCTCTGAGCTTGGGAGGGGAGCATTAAAGTGACAATGCTGTTCTGAGTTAGCAGGGGAGCAAGGCCTGCTGTATGAGATTGTCTTCATGTGCAGCTGCTGCATGTCTGGTTTCTGTTGCTTCAAGGATGTTACAAGTGCAATCAATGATCTTTGCTGCTGAGGATGGGTGCACTCCTTCTCTCCTAAGTCTGAGTTCAATGGGGGTGGGGGGATCAGAGGCATCAGTGATGAAACTCTGTAGGCTTTCAGGGAATGGGATTGGAGGGAGGATAAGGCCAGGGGGACCATAGATGCCTCTGGAAGGGCCATCTGCTGGGTTACTACTGCTGGAGATGTATTTGGTGAGGATCTGTTCAATGTGAGGGGATTCAGTGATAATGGAGTGGATTCACTTGAAGACTTCATTGACTTCTGCATTGCAGTGGTGGCCATTTTGCCATCCCTTGATGATTCCTGAGTTATTGCTGAAGACAATGAAAGCTGTTCCTGGAGGGTTGATGTGGTCAATCATGCAGATCAGGAGCTCAAAAGTGATAGCTTTGGCCCATCCAATGTCTCTCAAGCCTTCTTGTCATGTGCACCATCCCAGGATGAGTCTCCAGGCTCTCCAGCATTTTCCGATAGTGATGCCAATGCCAATGCCAGAGCTAGCATCAGAGTAGGTGGCTACATCTGTGAACTGAGTTGGTGGGAGGATTGGGCACTGGACATCACCATTTTGTAGTCTGTCAGTCCACCAGCCTATGTTGTTGGCTACCCTCTTGTCAGCATGATGGGGTAGGAGGGGTTCTTTCATGCCTGTTTTTAGCATGGCTTCTAGCCCAGTTAGGTAAGCTCTGCCATATGGCAATGCTGTGCTCACATGTAGTAATTTGTCATAAAGTTCTTTCATGTCTTGTAAAATGTGGGCTGGGCATTTGTGCCAGGCATGGATTGCCCTGAGATACTTCTCCATTTTGCTTGGACTGAGAGCCACTACATAACCTTTGAGGTCCCACTGGAACCCAATATAGGTAGATGAGTAACTGAATGGTTGGTCCTTCAATTTCTCCCAAGGGATGCTGAGTGTTTCCAAGAGAGTGTTGATGTCTTCGAAGCTGTACAAGAACAGGGTGTCATGAGTCACTCTGGGTGATGTGAGTGTGAGGTCTTGGATGGGTTGAGAACAGTCCTTGTTGAACTCCTCAGGTGTGTTGTCTTCAAGGGTTCTTCCTTGATATGTGTCCTGATACCTGTGTGGCCTTTGCTGGCCCATACTCTTCACTTGACATGTGCCCCATATGCAGTGGGACCACTATGACCATCTCAGACTACCCACTAGTGGGGGGAGGTCTTGTGTGGCCCATCAGAAATTTGTCACCATACCACTTGGCCCACACTTGCAGGCTCTCTGGCATGATCCACACCATGCCAAAGATATTGGGTATCTGTGAAAGGAGATGCATTGCATTTGGGAACAGATGCAGGCTAGCAGTGGTTCAATCAAGTTATTTGATGACTTTTGCAAAGGCTTGGATTACCTTGAGGCCAGCCAGTGGGGTGACATCAAATCAGATGTCATGTTTCTCATGATGTCACTCGACAGCACTCAGCTCTACCAAAGCAAAGAGACCAACTGTTGGATATACATCTGGATCATTATGAACCATGCCCTGGACAAGTGCTACAAGAAGCACTACATCCTGCTGGGCAGCTTTATTCCAGGTCCCTGTTCACATTAGGTGCCTGTGCACCTCAGAGTTTGCATCTCTTACTTTGTTATGTTTCCTATTAACCCTACAACTAGCATTGGACACTTGGCTTCATTCTAAGTGTCCTTGGTTTGTTTCTGCTTATTGTTTATCTTTGTTTATCATTTTTGCATACTTAGTACTGTGTGCCCAGTGAAGTTTTCCTTCAGTCTCTTACACTGGGCACCAGTGGCCTGAAGCTGTGGTTATCTGAACAGTCCCAACAAACCAAAGAATGTTGACACCTTCCTCTTCCCCAGTATCCACCATCTCACTGCACTACAAAATAAATGTTTACACATCTGGGATGCATCCCAAGATATTACCTTCCTGTCAGACCTGTATCTTCTCTTTGTGACAGCCAATGGCCCAGGACTTGTCTACTTCAATGGGATGGTGGGACATAGTGGCTGCAATGGCTGCAGACTCTACTGTGGACTCTGCAGATGCTGCAAGGGGAATCACTGCTATCCTGCACTACTCCTCCCAAACAACTACAATGTAGAAGGTAGTGATCACCCCAACTGCAGTCCATACAACATCCAACAACCTGGGAAATCCAAGTACTTCAAAAATCTCTGTGACTTGGTCACTGCACACAATCCAACACAATACAAGAAACTTTGCATGGAAACTGGGATTACCAAGCCCTGGTCTCCCAATGGCTGTGGGCCATCCTCAAGACCTCCAAAGCCTGGGAGATCCATGGTGCACTTGCCTCATCTGCTGCACAGCACCTTCCTGGGTCATTTGTTCAGAAGCCATGCAACCTTGCTGAGAAGATCTCTTCTGGATATAGGACATGGGAGTCTCAATGGTATATGTGTTGTTGTTAGTGTCTGTGCACCTCAGACTAATTTCCCAGGTTCCTCACCTTCCACATTAATGATGTGTTCACATATTTTCCTCAGTTGTTCTTTGTTTGTTCAGTGTTCACATTTTTACTGTGCACAGAGTCTCTTGTTCTTTAGTTACTGACTCTGTGCACATAGAGTGCTGAGTATTGGGATATCTTAACAATATGTTCTGTATTGCACCTGTGCTACTTTATGGAGTCCTGGGAGAACTGTATTAGTGCAATTACCGTTGCAAGTGTAGTACTCCAGCACTCAGCAACACTAGTCCTGACTAGCACTTGGTGGTTAAACCACACCAAGTAAGCCTAGATACCTTGACCAAATAGCTCAGTGGTTAGAGCACCTGGTTGAAACCTGGGAGGTCCAGGGTTCAATCCCCTGTCTGGTCACATTTATTGCAACAGAGTGGCCACTTGATTTTGAAGAACTCTAATGTCAGCACTCTCCCTCTCAACTCCACTTCATCAGACCATGCATACACCAAGTCTCCCACTTGACACAGCAGACAGTCAAAAAAGGACCTCCTGGTTGCTATGCACAATGGGCCATGGAGCCAAATGATTGGCAACTTAGGTCAAGAAATCTGACAGCCATCAAACCCATATGCCAATTTGTCTTGCATGGGAGTCCAGCACTGTCAAGTCAATGTGCTGAAGGCAATGGTGCCTAACCTGGAAAGGTGAAATGAAGGCTTTCCTGTGCACAAAAGGGCTCTGGACCATTGTCAGTGGTCTGGAAAAGCACCCTGATGACTCCAAAGTCAAAGCTCAGGCCAAATGGGACCTTAGAGCAGACAGGGCAGCTGGAGAGCTCTACCTGGTGGTCTCTAGTGAGCAGAGGATGCATGTAGATGCTGTGCAGGATGATCCTGTACAGATCTGGAACACCCTAGCCTCCATCCACCTCCAGCAGTGCCCTGGAGCTCATTTTAATGCTTGGGATGACTTCTTTTTGATCAGGAAGACCCCAGATGAGTCCCTGTCCTCCCTAATCGCTAGAATCAAAGATTCCATGTCCAAAATCCAGGAATTGCGCCCTAGGGATCCCTCTACCCCCTACTCCATCAAGGACTTGGACAATGAGCTGGTCTGCATGGCTATGATTCGCTCGCTAGGTGATGAATATGCTCACTTTGTGTCCTCCTTACTCCCATTTCACTCCCTGGACAAGGAGAAACTAAAAGAAGCATTCCTGGCTGAAGAATCACAGTGCAGGCATTGCCCTGATGCAAGTACATTGGAGACTGCGCTTTTAACCTCCTCTGGCAATTGCAAGTGCCTAGCTGCATCAGCTTGCTTGTTCTGCGAACATTCAGGCCACTGCATCCACAAATGCCCCAACATTGTGAAATCTAAAGCCTACTATTGCTCTCAGAAGAACAGGAAGGAAAAGAAGACTCCAAAATCTGCAAATCAAGCATCTAGTTGATCCCCTTTGCCCCAGGCCTCTGGCTCATTGCCCTCTACCTCCTTGCAAAATCAAAGCACTTCCCAAGCTGTGGAATTCACAGGAAATGCAAGTCTTCACTTCCCTGAGCCCTCTTCCCTCCTCTGCCCTCTGCAGCTTGATGCTGTGAACTTCACCCAGCCTTAAGGCCTTGTGCCCAGTGTCAGAGACTGTATTCAACAGCTAAGTAGTGACATTACCTTGTGCCCAGTGTCAGAGACTGAACAGAAAATACACTGGGCACACACAACTGCTAAGTGTGCACAAATGGTAAACAAAGGAAAACAAACAGTCACAACATACCATAACACTGTATAGTGTAGGAATGCGAACTTAGGGCATATTAGCGAAGCATATAACAGTAGAATAAATGAAAATGCGAACAGAGGTGCAGAGGCACCACTGTAACAGATGCTGATGTCCTTTGGATTGCAGACTCAGGGGCCACTGCTCATATGACACCCCATCAGCATTGGCTGCAAAGTTACAGCCAAAAACATGTTCCTATCAAGCTGGCAGACAAGAAGTTGATCTACTCAGCTGGGGTTGGGTCTGTAGTGTTTGGGCCTGTGGTGGGAGGTAGAAAGTGTCACCCTGTGGAGTTTAGCAATGTCCTGCATGTGCCAGACCTGTGAAATAATCTATTATCTGTTTCATATCTCTGTTGCAACAAGGGCTTTACTGTGACCATCAATTCTTTGCAGATGGCCTTCAGGCTGTGCTCCCAACATTCCCTCTTCATTGCACAAATTTCAGACAACAACTCAGCCTTCCTTGAGGGGGAGTCTGTTTCCCTCACTGAGTATGCCTCTGCAGCAAGCACTGTGCCTCTGGATTTTGACCTATGGCACAGGAGACTTGCTCACCACAACCTGATTGGTGTCAAATCACTGCTGGAGTGAAATCTGGTCACTGGGATGACCCTAGACTCCAAATCCTCCCCTGACCCCATCTGTGAACCATGCCTGGCTGGAAAGATTCATGCAAACCCCTTCCCCACCACTTCCTGGCGTGCTTCTAGGCCTCTGGAACTTGTCCACAGTGATGTACACCATGTAGGCCATGCCACCTTCTCAGGCTATAAGTATTGGGTCACATTCTGTTGTTGTTAGTGCCTGTGCACCTCAGACTAATTTCCCAGGTTCCTCACCTTCCATATTAATGATGTGTTCACTTATTTTCCTCAGTTGTTCTTTGTTTGTTCAGTGTTCACATTTTCACTGTGCACAGAGTCTCTTGTTCTTTAGTTACTGACTCTGTGCACATAGGTGTGTACAGCTACATAGACAACAATTCAGTTACTGACTCTGTGCACATGACAATGCCCCTGTACTGTATATAAATCACCACACTTAGATAGCTGAATAAGGAAGAAGACATCAGAGAGCCCCTCTTGCTCACCATTTCATTGTGTTCATATTAGGTGCCTGTGCACCTCAGGACTGCATTTCTCCTCTGTGTTATTTCTATCTAACCCTACAGACATGTAGTGGACACTTAGCTTTGCTCTAAGTGTCCTTGGTTTGCTTTTGTTTATTGTATACATTTGTTTATCATTTTTGTGCACTTACTGTTGTGTGCCCAGTGAAATTTTCTTCAGTCTCTTACACTGGGCACAAGTGGCCTCAGTTTGTAGTTATCTCAACACATTGTCCCTCAGTAATTCATTCAGCCACTTCAATAGTTGAGACTGGTCTAACTATTGTCTACTTTGCTTATTATTGTCTATTATCAAAGTACTTCACTCCATGTCCTCCCTGAGCTCAGTGCAGCTTAGGACATTGAACTAAGTCATCATCCATCCTTCTGTAAGCTGACAGCAGTCTACCCCATAGCAATCTCTCACATTCCTGCTCCCACTTCATCAGGAGCTCCCCCAACCCTCAGCACTCATCTTTGAGTGGTGTAGCTCACAAAAGCCCACCCAGACAGAAGGTTCCACCATATAGGTACTGCATAGGCACACCAGCAGCACTCACTTGTATTGTCTTTTGTGTTGGTTTTGGTTGGTTTCCACCACTGATCCACACTTTGACTCACACCAGACTTGGCTGCTGTCTCCTGGCCTTGACTCCAGTCACCTGGACTTAGCCCCTGTCTGCCAGACTTGAAGCCCAGTCACCCAAGGGTAAACCCATACTTCAAAGCATTACTGTTCATGAAGATGTGTTCCCACAGTAATGGTTGAACCCCCCAAACTACTGACATTGGTACCCCAGACTATGTACATAGCTCAGTGGTTAGAGCACCTGGTTAACACCTAGGAGGTCACTGGTTCAATCACAGCTCTGGTTGCATTTTCATCAAATTCTTCTGCTTGAATACAACTGTCAGGGATGCAGAATTGAGCACACTGCAAAGAGCTTGTGCAGAGACAGGAGAGGAAAGGGCCACTCTTATTATATGGGTGACCTGGATGGCATTTTCAGTTCTTCCAGAGGTCACACTAGAGACTAATCTCCTTCTGCTAGTAGAAGAAAGCTGGCAAGGATGTCCCATTTTGAGGTTTTCCTTATCTAGCTGGAACTCTTTGATGACCCTGGCCACAGTAGAGCTTCCCATACCAGTATTAGAGGATATTTGATGAGCAGAAAGGCCAGATTCAAAAGGAAGATGAATATTTGCTCTAGCAGAGGCAAAAATGCATTTCATTGTGGAGTAGGGTTGGCTGAGTGGTGTCAAAGCCATGCCTCAACCCTAGCCATACTTGGCCTCACACTTGCTCAAGTCTGGCATTGACCTTGCCAAACCTCCACCTCCAGTTGGTGTAGTGTGGTGAAGGAGAATTATTTTGAGAGTGGGTAAGGGGAGGGGTAAAACCTGATGGTGTGAGGAAGTCCAAAGGGGCTACTATAGCCTGAGCAAAAGCTGAAGGGATGTCTGAGGACTTCAATAGCACTTCAGGTAACCAATTTTCATGAGCATTAAGGCTGAAGTTTTTCTACACATCATCCAAGCTAAAAGCCACTCAGACCAGGTCATCCCAGGGACATCTGGCCATGTCCCAGGGCTATTTGCAGTGTGCAGGACCTGGGATGTCCCATAATCCCAGCTCCCTGGTAATATATTTTGGGCTGTCCCATGGCTGCCTTAGGTGTCAGGGGTCCTCAACTGCAAAAGTGCAGCTCATATTCACACTGAAATCCCACTTCTGACCAAGAAACCATAGCTATCACAGTCATCCAGGATGATGAAAATACCTGGAAAGGTAGGGGCCTATGCATGTGGCAGCCACTGATTTTCCAAAACCACTTGGTACACTTATTATACACAGATTTGAGGTGGGAAATCAGTGCAATTGTGAGGTGTCATCTCCAGAATCATACAATACTTCTGGAAGTGAGCCTTGCATCATTGTATAAATTTTAACAGATTCAGCACTGTCCTATGAGTAAGTTCTATTGCTTATAGAAGGAGTACACATTAATAAGATCATACTAAATGCATTGAATGAGGATGAGTGGAAGACCTTCCCAGCCAAGGAATAGATTGTAGCACAATACATGACACAATTGTGGGGCACAAGCATGTGAGAACCCCACTGTCCCATTATGACCCTGGGCTGTAAGGCCCTCCAGTGGACCACCATGTGCTTCAAGTACCTATCCAGCCAGGATGGGCAGAAAACTGAACTTTGTTGATTCTCAAAGGAAGGGTGGACTTGTGTTGCCAAAGACCACTGAAGTCTGTTGGAGATGGTGCATTCTGTGTATTACTCTTCATGGATAATTATTCCCAAAGTTCAAGATAATCATGTCAATTCCATTTGAATTCCACTCAGTTCCCTCAACTCACCAGGGAGAAACACTTACTTGATCACAGTAATAAAATGTAGATAAAGTACACAGGAAACCAGGCAGCAGAATTCACCAGAGCCCCTGGCCATTGGAACACAGTGACACTAGGAGAGTTGTCAGTCAGTGATCACCACATCAACACTTGCTTAATGTCACCATATCCCCTCCCCATTGCTGGAGGCTCCTTTATCTGTAGGTGTGGCCTCCAAGCTTCACCACAAATGTCCTTTGACCCAGCTCTCTGCAGCTCAAACTCTTCAAACAAGAGTACAGTATTTTGAGTAGATGCATCTTCCCTGTAGAATGTTGATCAGTAGAAAGTTCATTGGTAGATCAAGTGAGCAGCAATATGGCAGTGTGGCCACAGGAGGTAACAAAATAACAGTCAAGCAGACACAAATGCTCTTGCATTCAAAATGACAGAGAACTGAGAGATTTCATTCATTCATTGCTCACCCTATCATGGAAAAACAAACATGTATTTCTAAAGAAAATACTGAGGAGACTAATAATCTAAGTAATCCTCAGGAAATTTGTCCTCATACTGTGCAGCACTACCTCTGTCAACCCATTGCTGTGCTGTGGGCTGGGCTGCAGGGTAGTAGTCAGAGATATATGGAGCATCATGGTAAATATGATGGTCAGGGTGAGATGGTATGCAATATGTCTGACAGGATGAAGGGAAATGCCCCAAACCATGGCAGGCGGGCAGTAATACCTATAGAGAAGCTAAACAAGATGTGACAATGAAGGATCGAATCATGAACATTGTAGGAAACATTGGAGGGGCCAGGATCATGATAGTTGGCATGGTCATAACAAGGGTCCTGCAGGACATCCTATTGGTCTCCTTTGAGAAGCAGAATGCCTGGGATACTCACCTCATAATGCCAAGATGGTGGAAACTGCTGAGAAGGGCCAGGGTCCCATGGGTGTGAATGGCTTGGGACAGCATCATGATGCAGATCCTGTGCAGTCCTCCATTAGTCTTTTAATCAACTGGTATGTCCAGACCTCACCCCATAGTGCTGAGCCAGCAAGGGGTGCTCAGATCGACCAGACTCTCGAGTGTTCTTGTGGCTTGTGTGTGCTGGTGGGTCATGAAGTGCATCCTGTGCATGTCATCTGTTAGTTTTGACCAAAATGCAGTGGGGTAAACCACTACACCACAGTCACCAGCAATGGGGCATGCATCCCTGCCTTTGTCATGCAGGGGCATTTGGCAGTCAGAGTGTGAAGCCTTGGGGCACATTAGTAGACACCAAAGGTTGAGTGGATTGACTCACCTCACAAGGAACTGTGTCATTATCCATCACCTCCACACAAGGCTGCTTGCATGATGGAAACAGGATTCCACTCTGTGCATGAGGTGCTGCCATACCTGGATCCCCTTCTTCATGAGACTTCTGCCACTCAGGATCATCAGACACCTTGCCCAAAACCATGCCATCAGGAGCCTTGACCAGTGCGATCTCTTCCTTTAATGGGGGTGCATCCCCTATGCTGATGACATCTGCAAAAATGGTCAGTGATCAGTTAGACAAAAAATGTACACAATACCTTCATTCCAGGGTTTGATTTCGACCTCCAGCACACCATCCAGATGATCATTTTTCTCATCATCATTGTCATTGTCATCAGATTGTCTGTCATACATTGAGCCTAGCTTTCTCTGCAGATAAGGTACCACAAGTTGGCAGAGAGCGTCAGCTTTGAGTTTCTTGTACTCAAAACCAGGGCCCAGTGGAGGCACCCCAAGTGGCCAGTTGATTATGACAAGAGAGTTCCTCCTAACAAACTCAAGAAGCTGCTGCCAAATGATTTTCTGGGGATCACCAACTTCAACCCCACATGTCACTTATGGGAAGACAATTAGAAGAGAATATACAGAATATTAGAAATATGTACTGCATAGATCTCTGAGTGCCATTATCAACTTCTCCTTCATCATAGATCCAAATACCTGGCAGTTGCAATCTCTTGGTATCTCCTTCATTCGACAATGCAACTCCAATGCCACAGCTGAACTGGCAGAAGCACTCATCCCTAATAACCCAGCTTCAGTACCATTACCATCCCTGAGACACCTAATTGCAATGAATCTGAGTAAGATATGTGTAACATCACTTACTTAAATATTGCAGTGTACTTGTCCATAAATCCCTGAACATCAATGGCACAATCATTGATGTACTTTTGTATGATATTGGAACCACCAAATATGCCAGAGGTCTGGCATCCTGCAGGGTCTTGTCCAACATACATCACAACTCCAGCAATTTTGATGTCTTCAAGAGCCAACCACACTTCAGCCTGCTCAACGGTAAGATCTGCCCCCCATCCACCCACTTACAACCACTTACCAATCCAGAGAACTGCATCTTCATGTTGTGGACTCTGACTGCAATGGACTTGACTGATTTGTTAGCAGGCACTGCTGAGGACTTCTCACTCCATTCATAAATGGCCTTCAACTTCTCCTTTCTTGCTGTGGTGTTGTCTTTGGGGATATCTTTCATGAGTTGGTTGTACTCCACCATAATGATATTGTTGACTGTGTTTCAGTCAGCTGGGAAGAATGTTATAAAAGAAAATCTGTGACAAGGGCATGCATACCACCATCAGGTTTCAGTTGGGTGGCCCAATACCATGAGCAGAAGAGATTGGCCTCATTGAGCTTCATGTGAGATGGTTTGACACTGAGCCCAGCAGCAACAAGGATGTCATGAGGAGACTTGCCATGTCAACATCCAAGTTCTTCTGCTTTTGCCTTGACTTTGGCCACAAAGTCACATATCTCATCAAGAGCAGCATGGGACAAGTTCCCAGTCTTCTTAAATTTTGTGTTCCATGCAGGTTCATGATCATCCTGACTCACTATATCACTGTTGTCAACATCCATAGCCCTACTTTTGCCCTTGCTTTTAGGTTTGTGTTCCACATGGCAACCAGGATGACATGGGGGAAACTCATCCTCAGCATCAGAACTGGAGTCTTCAGCTGGTGGCAAAGATGGAGGAAGCAATGAGTCAGAACCATCCTCATCTACTATGAGCATGTCAATATCAGAGGAGAATACATTGAAGGGTGACAAAAGACACATCAAAGGATAACAAAGTGTCTAGAAAAAAAAGTGAAAATGACACAGGACACTTAGCAACTCTCATGAGGATCCAAAGTGCCTAGCTTTAGACCATTGGGCACCAAACCCACAGTCAGATGAGAGAAGTGGGGGGCACCAAACCCCAGAGTCAAGGATATAACAATGCAACATCTACAGAACTGTGAGAGAACAAGAAAAATATTCAAAAAAAAAAGAACCTTCATTGTCTGGAAGTTGACTAGCCCCATCATCAGGATGTTGACTGCCCTTGTCAGCTTGAATGTTGACATCAACCTCCTTGGCCTCAGCCTCACCAGCATCCTCCTCCATCAGAGCACCCTCAACCTGGTCTTCCTGCAAGATTGGGGTAGTGGAATTTTGGGAGGACACAGAGACACTAGGAGTGAGTGATCTCCTCCTGTCATGGAGACTGAACATATGTTCTTCCCATCCTTCAGGCGGTTGCACCACATGCCAGGGCTTGGGCTTGTCTTTTTTGATCTGTGAAGGCAGGGGTCAGATGGGATTGGCAGTGACAAGATAACTTACCTCTGGTGGAGGGGCCATCTTGGTGGTGGGGATTTTGCAGTTTCAAAGAACCCAGGTGTGCAAATCCATAGAGTCATCTGTGACTTGGTCAACACCTTTTGGCACACAAGGCATGTCAAGAACAATGGGGGGAGGAGGGGAAAAGCAGCCAGATGAGATATTTAAGTAAAGTCATGCCTTACCTGACATAAAAAAACCCATGGAATTATTCAGTAAAATGGCAGGTTGTTGGGATGGAATAATGACACTTGCAGTTATTACATGAGTAGCAAGTGGAACAAAAGGAAAATATCAGAAAAGAAGATTGGTGTCATGCTGTATCATGATAAATACCAGGTGGAATGAACCATAAGGAATATACAACAACCAATACAGAAAGAGTGCATACCACTTCATAATAACATATGCATGCAATGGTAGTGAGCAGAATGGAAGATGTGTTGCAGGTGTAGTACTCCAGCACTCAGCAATGCTAGTCCCTACTAGCACTTGGTGGTTAAACCACACCAAGTAAGCCTAGATACCTTGACCAAATAGCTCAGTGGTTAGAGCACCTGGTCGAAACCTGGGAGGTCCAGGGTTCAATCCCCTGTCTGGTCGCATTTATTGCAACAAGATGTAATAATGAAAATGAAGGAAATACATCACTAATAAGTGGAGACTTGAATGCCTGAAGGCCCAAAACAGAGGGAAGATGTACCACTTGGTAATGGAATATGTGTGCAATGGTGATAAATGGAGAGCCTCGGAAGATGTACTCTGTTCATGTGGGTTTCATGCATGCAATTGACAACAAAACATTGGTAAATGCTGGAACAGCAAGAGAACAGTAAGGAAGATGCGACAACCAAGACAGAGGGAATACATACCACTTAGTAATATGATACACATGTGATGACAGTGAATGGAAAGGCTTGGATGATGCCATGACTCTGTTCCTGAGGGTCTCGTAGATGCAATTGACAAGAACCTTTGAAGGCTCCAAACCCCCAAGGGCACCAAGCCCTCAACTCTTGTGGACAACCATGCCAAACAGTCAGGGCAAGAATGGATGGAGGTCAGTAACAACATGTCCATGAACAGATCCCAATATTGAAACCTTTGTATTTGCGATATCTCCACTTACCTGCACCAGGTGGAAAACCCATTAGTAGTCATGTTGTTGGTTACACTTGAGCCAAATTAAGAATTAAAAATAAACAGCAAAGCTTTATACAAAACAGGTATGTTTACAGGGTCACTGTGAAAAATACTCCAGTTGAAGTATGCCAACACTCATCCACCAGGGACAGATCCCTTGGTTCCACATCTGGATGTCTGTGGACAAGAACAGTGGTGGAGTCAGGGGTGTCAGTGGACATTAGATGGATTGATATGGGGGGAGTGGGGACCTCCAGTCTGATGGGGGAAAAGGGGAGGAAAGGGACCACAGAAGTGCCCTCCTGACAGGATGACAACATTGAGGGAGCCAAACTCGATGGAAATGATGGTGCTATGGGAGATGATTACTGTCAAGGAACAAAAATCTTGGAAAATCACCCACCTTCATGCTGGGATCTCAAAAGTAGGACATCAGCAAGGGTTGCAGCATCGACTGCGCTCAGTTTGAGATGCGAAACAATAGTGATTAGAGCACCTGCATAACCCTTGAACATTAGCTATCAGACAGCAGTTAGAAAATCATGCACTTAGGTGTTAAGATATCCACAAACTGAGGCCACTGGTGCCCAGTGTAAGAGACTGAAGTTGAGTAAAGTAATACAGGACTGTACCTGGTGCCCAGTGTAAGAGACTGAAGAAAATTTCACTGGGCACAGAGCAGTAAGTGCGCAAAAATGATAAACAAATGTAAATAATAAATAAATGCAAACCAAGGACACTTAGAGCGAAGCTAAGTGTCCACTACATGTCTGTAGGGTTAGACAGAGATAAAATAAAGGGAAAATGCGGTCTGAGGTGCACAGGCACCTAATATGAACATTAGGTTGATGGTGCTTATACTTCACCCATTATCGAGTGAGGGTGGCTGGCACATAGTGAGACAAGGATTGGAAGGGAGAGGGAGAGAAACACAGACAATATTGTAAGTCGATGGGTGGATCTCCAACAGAAGGTTCTTCTTCCCCATTTGTTAGCAGCCATGGAATAACACATAGGATCTGCCTTGGTGAATCCTGAATGCACAGTCTGTAGAGATGTTGTAATTACACTCTTGTTAAACAGATCATTGTGTGCCCCAGGTAAAGAATATAACTAATGGAATAGATGCAAAGGCTAAACACTTACTTGTTTGTGGCTCACTATGACAGAAGCAGAGACAACACTAGGAAGGACAGGAAGACTTAATTAGCATCCCTACACAGGAGTAATCAGGGATCAGGAACTGAGGAAACAAGTGAGCCTTGAACTCACCAGCTTGTAAAATGAATGGAATATCATCAGGAAACAAAATGGTAGAGTTTAGGGTATATCCATACCAAGATGACTTTTGAAGGCTCCAAGCCTTTGAGAGCTGCCAAGGGCACCAAGCCCCTGGCACTTGGTGGGGGATGCACCAAACATTCTCCTAGTGTAATAGATGTCGAAGAGAATGTACTGTTGACCATGAAAGTAAGAAAGCAAAGAAGAGAAACCTGATTAGTGTCTCCACACAAAGGCAGTTGGAGCTCAGCAAAGGAAGGGAGATGCAAGCCTCAAACTCACCAGCAGGCAAATTGAAAGACTCTAGTATCAGAAGGAGAAGACAGAACTGGGGGTAGCCATGGCAAACCATTGGCCATAATAGATAATGGAGAGAATGCTGCATTAACCAGGAAAGTAAGAAAGTGAGTAAGAGAAACCCAATTAGTGTCCCTTTACAAAGATGATTGGAGATCAGTAAAGGAAGGGGGAGACGTAAGCCTCAAACTCACCAGCAGGAAAAGTGAAGGAGTCTTGTCTCAGATGGACAAGGTGGAGCTGGGGGTAGCCATGGAAAACCATCAGCCTTAATAGATGATGGAGAGAATGCCATGATAACCAGGAAAGTAAGAAAGTGAGCAAGAGAAACCCAATTGGCGTCCCTATACAAAGACAATTGGAAATCAGCCAAGGAAGGGAGATGCAAACCTTGAACTCACCAACAGGCAAAGTGAACAGAGTCTTGTCTGAGAAGGAGAAGGCAGAGATGGGGGCAGCCAAGGACAAATGTCAACCTTAACAGATGACAGAGAGAATGTAGTGTTGATCAGGAAGTTTGAGAAAGCAAAGAGAAACTTGATTAATGTCTTGGGGAGATGCAAGCCTCAAACTCACCAGTGGGTAATGTGAACAGCTGAGTCTTGTTTGGGAAGTAAAAGATGGACTCCAGGGTAGCCAAGGAAAGCTGGCAGTCTTCAACACCCTGAGTTGCACTATATGAAGTAGCACCTCCATGAGATGGAGTCTCATCTGTGTGACCGACAGCCAATCCATACCAAGACAACTCTCGAAGGCTCCAAGCCTTCGAGAGTCATCAAGGGCACCAAGCCCCTGATGCTTGGTAGGGGATGCACCAAGTGTTCCCCTGGTGTAGGATTGATGACGAGAGTGGAGAGTGGAGAGTAGAGAAGGGAAACAAGTGTGTGAATGTGTCAACATTGTGTATGTTTGGTTACTAAGTATGCACCTATGACAATTAATTTGTCAGCATTTCCTCTGGGACTCTGGTTTGAATTGAATGCAGGGCATTACAACATATGTTATATATTAGGTTCAGGCACCAATGAGCCTGCCCTGCATGCATGAACCTGACTGCATGCTGGTGGCATCATAACATTGCCATGGCACTGCCACCACCAACTAGTCCATGCACACCGCCAGCAAATTTTGTTAATATATCCCAATGCTCAGCACTATGTGCACAGAGTCAGTAACTAAATTGTTGTCTATGTAGTTTTACACACCTATGTGCACAGAGTCAGTAACTAAAGAACAAGATACTCTGTGCACAGTAAAAATGCGAACACTGAACAAACAAAGAACAACTGATGAAAATAAGTGAACACATCATTAATATGGAAGGTGGGGGACCTGGCAATTAGTCTGAGGTGCACAGGCACTAATAGCAACACTCCCCCCTGATCGTGCACCTCTGCACATTAAGAACTCCCACTTGATGCACCTAGTCCTAGCATCTGACAGAAGTTGATCACCTTGGCCTTGGACAGTGGTTTGGTCATCAGGTCAGCAGCCTGGGCATCAGTGGGGACAAAAGTGGGCGCAATGAGGTTGTCCTGGACTGCATCTCTAAGCCAGTAGAAGCAGAGATCAAGTTGCTTCATTCTGCCATGGTGTTCAGGATTCTTGGCCACAGAGATTGCAGATTGGTTGTCCATGTGCAGCACAGAGGGAGAAGACAGTGGAGAAGCAATTTCAGAGAGTAAATTTCGAAGCCACTTGATCTCCTTGCCTGCCTGGACAGCTGCTATGTATTCTGCCTCAGTGGTAGATAGAGCAACGACATTTTGAAGCTTGGAACACCAGGAGATTGCTCCAGTACCCATCTTGACAACATATCCACCTGTAGAGCGACCAGTATCCTTGCAGCCACCATGATCTGCATCAGAGAAGGTGGTGAAGGGCTCAGAGGTTGAAGGATCAGGAGAATAGGTCAGGGAATAGTCCAGAGTACCCTTGATATAGCGCATTAGGTGCTTCACAGCCTGCCAATGAGCCCAGCCAGGATTGGAGTTGAATCTGGCCAGAACTCCAACAGTATAGGCGATGTCTGGGCGGGTAGTGGTGGCAAGGTACATCAGAGCACCTACAGCAGAGAGATAGGGTACTTGGCGCATTTTCTCGATTTCTGAGGCATCCTGGGGAGACTGGGAGCGAGAGAGGCGAAGATTTGGCTCCATGGGTGTAGATAGTGGCTTGCAGTCAGCCATGCCAAATCTTTCCAGTAAATCCAGGCAGTACTGGCGCTGGGAGAGCGAAATCGAGCGATTGGGGCGATCTCTGTCAATTTTGATGCCCAGGAGTTGGGTAGTAGGTCCTAGATCTCGCAGTTTGAAGTGCTGGCTGAGTTGGCAGATGAAGGAGTCTATGGCAGCTTCAGAAGACGAAGCAAGAGTCATATCATCCACAAAAACAGGCAAGATGATGGAGACACCATCCTTGGAGTATATATAGATGCTGGCATCTGAATAGGTTTGTTTGAAGTGCAGGGACTCCAATACAGAGCGCATTTTCTTGTTCCAGCGATTGCCACCTTGTTTGCTGCCATAGATGGCTTTCTGGAGCAGGCAGACATGAGATTTCGAGTTTCCTTCCACAAATCCTTCAGGTTGTGCCATATAGACTTCACAGTCCATTTCCCCATTCAGGTAGGCATGGGAGATGTCCACAGAGCGCAGATGGAGGTCCTGGAGCGCTGCAAGAGCTAGAACCACTCTGACAGAGGCAAGGCGCACTGTAGGAGCAAAGACTTCGAGATAATCAAAGCCAGGGCGCTGATTATAGCCTTTTGCGACCAGTCTGGCCTTGTAGCGATCTATGGAGCCATCAGCATTCCTCTTGACCTTGAATACCCACTTGGAGCCAATGACTTTGCATCCAGGGGGTCTAGGGACAAGTTTCCAAGTCCCATTTGTCTGGTGAGCTGCCAACTCCTCCAGGGCTGCTTTGCGCCATTTTTCCGCATCAGGGCGACTCATGGCTTCTGAAAATGTAAGAGGTTCATCTGGCAGGGCTGCAGACATGGCCAACTCATCATCAGAGTCTTCTTCATCACCAGAGTCCTCCAATTGAGCAGGGGAGAGCTTCCACCACTCTCTGGGCTTCTGTCTTCGCCTTCTGGGCAGTCTGGCACCTATGCCAACAGGGCTAGGGGCTCTTGAGGGTGGTGCAGGCGATGGAGTGTGAGGAGGTGGCGCATCATGAGCTGGTTGAGCAGGGAGAGGCTGGATAGGCACTGGATCAGCTGCTGGAGGCTCCAGAGGCTCTATCTCCCCCCCATGATCCAGGGAATCTCCAGAGTCGCTTTCTGAGTCAGAATCTGGGTGAGGGTGGTAGTAAGATGGTTTGGAAGCTGGAGGCGCAGGTGGAGGTTGATTGGGTGGGTTTGAAGCGTCCAGAGAAGGTAAGGAAGGGCGCTTGGACAGGGGGAAGTACCTTTCATCAAAGTCAGCCCTTTCTGAGATTATGGTGCGCTTGGAGGTGGGATTGTAGAATTTCCAGCCCTTGTAACCTTCTGGATAGCCAATAAAGACACATTTCTCTGTGTGGGACTCCAGAGGGCGCCTCTTGTCTTTCTGGACATGTACATAGGCAGTACAGCCCCACACTCGAAGATGGGAGACATCTGGCTTCCTTCCATGCCATAGCTCATATGGGGTCGCATTTTGGAGGGATTCAGTGGGGCACCTGTTCCAGACATGGACCAGGGCAGCTAGGCACTCACCCCAGAATGCCTTGGAGAGCCCAGACTCGTCCAGCATTGCAGTGATGCGCTCAGATAGCACCCTATTTGCTCTCTCTGCAACTCCATTCTGCTGGGGGCGATTCCTGACAGTGTGCTGGCGCAAAATGCCGCATTTTGATGTGAAATCTTCAAAGGCCTTGCTCATATACTCCCCTCCTTTGTCATCGCGCAAAATCTTGATTTTTCGCTCAGATTGGTTCTCTGCAAATGCCTTGAACCTCTGGAAGGCATCAAAGACTTCAGATTTGGCCTTGAGAGGCAGGACAAAGCGAAAACGCGAATAGTCATCGATGAAAGTGACCCAATATCTGTTCATATTAGGTGCCTGTGCACCTCAGACCGCATTTTCCCTTTATTTTATCTCTGTCTAACCCTACAGACATGTAGTGGACACTTAGCTTCGCTCTAAGTGTCCTTGGTTTGCTTTTATTTATTATTTACATTTGTTTATCATTTTTGCGCACTTACTGCTCTGTGCCCAGTGAAATTTTCTTCAGTCTCTTACACTGGGCACCAGGTACAGTCCTGTATTACTTTACTCAATATTAGTCTCTTACACTGGGCACCAGCCTCAGTTTGTGGATATCTTAACAGGTTTTGAGCCCCGCGCTCTAGGATTCTCAGCACTCGTTGGTCGCCACGTAATCCACCTCTGCGCAATACCTCGACCCAAAAGAACCACACACTCGCTCGCTACAGCTCATTCTTCGAGCTCCCAGCTTCCAGACTCACCCCATCCACCCCATCCTTCTCCTTTCGACTCGAAATTCGCCACCATGGCTGAGGACCATACCAACTCATCGCCCTCTGTCGCAAAACTCACTGCCTCCAACTACTCGACCTGGAAAGGCGAAATGAAGGCTTTCCTGCGCACAAAAGGGCTCTGGACCATTGTTAGTGGTCTGGAAAAGCGCCCTGATGACTCCAAAGTCGAAGCTCAGGCCAAATGGGACCTTAGAGCGGACAGGGCAGCTGGGGAGCTTTACCTAGCGCTTTCTAGTGAACAGAGGACCCATGTAGATGCTGTACAGGATGACCCTGTCCAAATCTGGTCGACTCTAGCCTCCATCCACCTCCAGCAGCGCCCTGGAGCTCGTTTTAATGCCTGGGATGACTTCTTTTCGATCAGGAAGGCCCCAGATGAGTCCCTGTCTTCCTTAATTGCTAGAATCGAAGATTCCATGTCCAGAATTCAAGAATTGCGCCCCAAGGACTCTGCTACTCCATACTCCATCAAGGACATGGACAATGAACTTGTCTGTATGGCTATGGTGCGCTCTCTAGGCGAAGATTACTCTCATTTTGCTTCTTCTCTCCTTCTCTTCCAATCTCTGGACAAGGACAAACTCAAAGAAGCCTTTCTGGCTGAAGAATCGCAGCGCAAGCGCCGCCCTGATGCAGGGTCATCGGCGACCGCACTAGTGAGCTCCTCCGCAATTTGCAAGTGCTCACCTTCGTCGCCTTGCGAGTTCTGCGATTATTCAGGCCACTGTGTCCACAAGTGTCCCAACCTGGAAAGATCAAAGGCTTATTATCGCTCTAGGAAGAATAAGAAGGACAGGAAGGGTGCCAATACCGCAAATCAAGCCTCTACCTCATCTGCTTCCTCCCCAGCAACTGGGACAGCACCAACAGCCTCCTCATCGAACCAGAGCGCTTCCCAAGCGGTAGAATTCGCTGGAAATGCAAGTGTTCGTTCCCTTGACCCCTCCTCTCCTCTCTGCCCCCTCCAGCTCGATGCTGATGTGCATTGGAATGCAGATACAGGTGCCACTTCTCATATGACACCTCATCGACACTGGCTGCGAAATTACAGCCAAAAATGCGTTCCAGTGCGCCTAGCAGACAACAAAATTGTCTACTCAGCTGGGGTGGGGTCAGTAGTGTTTGAGCCTGTAGTGGGGGGTCAGAAGCGTCGTCCTGTTGAATTTACCAATGTCCTACATGTCCCTGACCTGCGAAATAATCTACTGTCTGTGATATATCTCTGTCGCAACAAGGGCTTCACTGTCAGCATCGATTCTTCGCAGATGTCCTTCAGGCAGCGCCCTGGCCCTACCCTCTTCATTGCAAGAATTTTGGACAACAACTCCGCATTCCTGGAGGGTGAGACTGTTCCCCTCAGTGAATATGCCTCTGCAGCAACCACTTTGCCCCTGGATTTCGACCTATGGCA